CGTCGGTGGGAGAGTATAGCAAGTAATTTAGTGTTAACAACTAAGTTGAAAACGTAAATTAGCCACCGTAAAGGGTAAAAAAGCTGACGTTTCGAGCGTTAGCCCTTCGTCAGAGTGATTAGATCAATCTAATCGCTCTGACGAAGGGCTAACGCTCGAAATGTCAGCTTTTTTACCCTTTACGGTGGCTAATTTACGTTTTCAACTCAGTTGTTAACACTAAATTACCTGCTTTCCCATTATCATCTTTATTCTGGGCACTGGGGTAGGACAGGTTGGACCTCAGCCTACCACGGGGACATGGACGACCCCGCCCACCAGAGTCTGGGGTGACACCTTTGGCAAGTGTTTACAGCCCCGCAGCCACCCCTGCTAGGGTTACAGCACAGGGCAGGTAGAGCTCGCTAGCCTGGAAAGGCAGTTTACCTAGGGGAAGGAAAACCCTTATCCCAAACCTCTGCTGCCTTGCGGCTATATCCACACATGGAAAAGGCTTCAGGAGTAAACCTCGAGGAAAAATCCGGAGTTGGAGTCCCTAAGGCAGCTCGAAGTTGAATTCAACCCGTGCTGGCAGCTCCTGCGACGGCACTGGTCCCAAATTGTAACGACCTTGTTGTTCCTTTGGCCCCATCAGTGACGTGGAGAGGGGGAACATGTTACATGGGCAACAGCTTGTTCTCCATAAAACACTGCCCAGGCTAGCATCCGCCTACACTACACACCAACACACCTCGCACTACACCTGGAGAGGACACTCCAGCTACGCCCATGGCGTAGACACAACACGGAGAATGGCAGTTTACCGGTGATAAGCTACTGCTCGATTGGCGTAGAGTGAAGCGCCAGGGGTCGTTCTCGTCGGTGGGAGGGATCTTCGAATCCCACTGGACAGCTACCGCCCGCCTCAAGCTGGGCAGCCCCCAGTCAATAAGGTGCTGTCCCGCCACGGTTTGCTTTCTTCATTGGGTGCATGGAGATTAGGAGATATCCAACAGGCAGACTGCAAACTTTGCACCAGGCAATAACAAAAATCATCAAAAGAAACCAGTCCTGAAACTAGGCTGCTGGAACGTTAGAACAATGCTGACGGGCCTCTCAGAAGACCTTCAGGACGTCAGCGACTCCAGGAAAACAGCCATCATTAACGACGAACTTAGGAGGCTTAATGTGGACATTGCCACCTTACAAGAAACACGACTTGCAGACTCTGGAAGACTGAAGGAGAAAGACTACACCTTCTTCTGGCAGGGGAAAAGCCCCAATGTACCGCGTCAGCATGGGGTGGGCTTTGCAGTGAAGAACAACCTGCTGAACATGGTAAAGCCAGGCAACAGCGGCTCAGAGCGACTCCTCACTCTCTGCCTGAACACCACGGCAGGCCCTGTAACTCTCGTCAGCGTGTATGCTCCAACACTCTCTGCTACACCTGAAATTAAAGACGAGTTTTATGATCAGCTCACAGCCACGATCAGCAACATCCCAAACAAAGAACAACTTATCCTTCTGGGCGACTTCAACGCCAGAGTAGGAGCTGATCAAAGATCATGGCCTTCTTGCCTTGGAAAGTTTGGCATAGGCAAGATGAACGACAATGGCCAGAGACTGCTCGAGCTATGCACCTATCACAAACTCTGCATAGCCAACTCTTTTTTCAAGACCAAACCTCAGCACAAGGTCTCTTGGAGACACCCGCGCTCAAAGCAGTGGCATCAGCTGGACCTTATCCTTGTCAGACGAACCGCTATTAAGAACGTCCTCCACACACGCTCTTACCACAGCGCGGACTGTGACACAGACCACTCCTTGGTGTGTTGCAAGGTCAGGCTCCATCCGAAAAGGTTCCACCGTGGCAAGAAGAAAGGGAGCCCTCGTATTGATGTCATTAAGTTGAGCCAGCCTGATCTTAAAGAGCAATTTGCTGAGAGGTTTGAGAATCATCTAGCAACATTACAGTCAGGGGACTCCGCAACTGAGAAGTGGACCACCTTACGGGATACAATGCACCGCACTGCCTTGGCCACCTTTGGAAAAAGTACCTCGAAATCGCATGACTGGTTCAAAGCTAAATCCGCTGTGATGACCCCCATCATAGAAGCAAAGCGTGCCGCTCTAACGGAATACAAGCGATTACCCAGCGAGAAAAATCTTCAGATTCTCCGAGCTATAAGGAACAAAGTCAAACACACTGCAAGACGCTGTGCCAACGACTACTGGACCGAACTCAGCGAAGCCATCCAGACTGCAGCAATTACTGGGAACATAAGAGGGATGTATGAAGGCATCAAAACATCAATAGGTCCAATCCAGAACAAGACAGCTTCCCTTAAATCCACCTCAGGGGAAGCCATCACAGACAAGGGACAACAGATGGAGAGATGGGTGGAACACTACTCTGATCTCTATTCAAGACAGAATGTAGTAACATCATCAGCCCTTGATGCCATAAAATGCTTACCTGTAATGGAAGAGCTTGACAACGAACCCACTAATGACGAACTCAGCAAGGCTATCAACAGCTTGGCCTCAAGGAAAGCTCCAGGCAGTGACGGGATCCCCCCTGACCTGATCAAACACTGCAAGACTACACTATTACAGCCTTTACATAATGTCCTATGTGCGTGCTGGAAAGAAGGGGCCGTACCACAAGACATGAGGGATGCTAAGATCGTTACCCTCTACAAAAACAAGGGAGATCGCAGTGACTGCAACAACTACAGGGGCATCTCCTTACTCAGCGTTGTGGGCAAAGTCTTTGCTCGGGTTATTTTGGTAAGACTTCAGAAACTGGCTGAACGTATCTATCCAGAGTCACAGTGCGGCTTTCGAGCAGAAAGATCAACGATAGACATGGTATTCTCCCTCCGCCAGCTTCAGGAGAAATGCAGAGAGCAGCAGATGCCTTTGTACATTGCCTTCATCGATCTGACCAAGGCGTTTGATCTTGTAAGCAGAGAGGGTCTCTTCAGAATTCTATCTAAAATTGGCTGCCTCCCTAAACTACACAGCCTGATTGAGTCCTTCCATGCCAACATGCAGGGGACTGTGCAGTTCAACGGCAGAACCTCTGAGTCATTCAACATCAACAGCGGTGTCAAACAGGGCTGCGTACTTGCCCCAACCCTTTTCGGAATCTTCTTTGCCTTCCTTCTGAAACATGCATTTGGCGCATCGAAAGAAGGGATCTACCTGCATACAAGATCAGATGGCAGGCTTTTCAATCTTGCCCGTCTCCGAGCAAAGACCAAAGTGCGTGAAGCCCTGATAAGAGACATGCTATTTGCTGACGATGCAGCAGTAGCCTGCCATACTCAGCAAGCACTTCAGTCACTCATGGACCATTTCTCTCAGGCCTGCAAAGACTTTGGGCTTACCATCAGCCTGAAAAAGACTAAAGTCCTGGAACAAGGAACAGAAACACCACCATCCGTTACCATCGACGATTACGAGCTCGAAGTGGTCCATCATTTTACGTATCTAGGCTCCACTGTCACTGACAATCTCTCCTTAGACTTCGAGCTCGACCAGAGAATTGGAAAGGCGGCTGCCACACTTGCACGCCTCACTACACGTGTGTGGTCCAACCCCATGCTCACAGAGAAGACCAAGATGGCAGTATACAGCGCTTGTGTCATCAGTACACTGCTATACGGCAGCGAGACATGGACGATGTACGCCAGACAAGAAAAACGCCTGAACACCTTCCACATGAGAAGCCTCCGCCGCATCCTGGGAATTTCGTGGCAAGACAAAGTCCCAAACACAGAGGTCTTGTCTCGTGCGGGCCTGCCAAGCATGTCAACCTTACTCAGGCAACGTAGACTCCGCTGGCTGGGCCACGTTCATCGCATGCCAGACGGCCGCATCCCCAAAGACTTACTGTATGGTGAGCTAGCCACTGGAAGTAGACGCAGAGGACGCCCACAGCTGCGATACCGAGATGCTTTGAAGCGTGACATGAAGGCTGTAGGAATTGACACAGAGACCTGGGAAAATCTCGCAGCTGATCGGTCACAATGGAGAGGAGCCGTTACAAGGCACCTCAAAACAGGAGAAGAGAAGCTGACACAAGCTGCCACAAGGAGGCGGACCCGCAGAAAACTTCGTATCAGCAATGTCCAACAAACAGCATACACGTGCAGCACTTGCGGCAGGGACTGCCATTCACGCATTGGCCTTCACAGTCATAGTCGCAGATGCTCCAGCCAAACACACAATTAGGATGCTATACCCATGGTTGACCCTGACCGATGGAGGCCTACTACTACCTGCTTTCCCATTATCATAGCTTTATACTTATCGTGATTCCTTCTCATTTAATTTTCCTCATATCATTTATCAATTTTACGTAGGTCCGAATTTATGGCTTATTCTACATCTGTCACTTTGTCCTCAGCATAGAAGATTTGTGTATCATCTGCATAAGTGGACAGTATAGTGAAATCAATGACGCGAGGAAGATTGTTTATAAATATGTTGAAAAAAAAAACAATAATCGCCTTCAACAGAAAAGCCATTGAGCTGTTCTTTCAAAAAGTCGATCTCTAAATCTCCTATCTCTCTCTAAATCTCTTGTTGGCTTTTGGTCTTCATTCATGGCAAAATCGTCCGGAATAGGCAAAGTAGAGTGCGAAAACCAAGTTCGCCAAATTTGATTGACATTTTTGACAACCGGAAATCATGAGACTTCTTTTTTCGTCTCGCACGTCACGCAGCAAGTTAGAAAACGTAAATTTAATTCTTTTTGGTGCTTCTCGGATGCCACTGATGCCTTCATTGTTTATTAAAGCAGTATAAGATATATCTACAATCAACACTTTTGAAAAATTGTTGAACATTTTATTTAGGGAAGTAAACTGTCTACATTTCGGCTTCACAACACGACTGTTTCCTGCAACTACAAATGATATGTCTCTATATGAAGTACAAAAGTTGTTTCACCGCTGACCACTCATATTTGGGTCCTTTTTTTCTTTCCCGCTCGTCGCCCGTAGCTCCCAACTTCCGTGATACGATCCTTTGGAATCCCGTGAGACACTCTTAGCATTTTGTAACAGAAACCATCAACGTTAGATGCTCAAGGTGTACTAAATGGAGTTAAACCTGAACATTCTCTACGAATTTACTTTGAATGTGATATTTAGTGGAGTGAAACTTATTACTTGCTGCAAGAAATTAGAGCAATATTAACAATGGCATGTTCGAGCGCATCTGCTGCTGCCGGTGGCGAAGAGGAGAAGAAGGAACAGAGGCTTATAGATGCCATGTTCCTCTGTGACGAGTGGAAATCTTCGAAAGGTGGATTATCAACTTTCAATCGAGAATTTGCTATTAATTTGGCAGAAACGACGACTGATAGCATGAAAATCCACTGTTATGTCTCTAATAGCGATGATCGGGACAGGGAAGATGCTGAACAACATGGTGTCAATTTAATCACAGCTCGAAGTGTTCCTGGTTCAGCCGACCCCCTCGAGTGCTTGAAGTTTCCACCCTCACAGCTCCCAAAGCCACATCTGGTAATAGGCCATGGAAGAAAGCTGGGTAGTCCTGCATATTTCCTAGCACAGTCTACAAAGTGTAAATGGATCCAATTTGTTCACGTCTACTGCGAGGATCTTGGGAAATATAAAGAATCTGCCACGGCTGCAGAAGATACAATCGAAGAGAACGAGAAGAAGCACAAGATGGAAATTGAGTTGTGTAAAGCAGCGGATGCAGTTGTTGCCGTTGGCTCCCGTCTACAACAGAAGTACAGCAGACGTCTCCTTAATGTTGAAGTGAAGATTATCACTCCTGGGATCTTTGGAAAGTTTTCCAATGAATCAAAATTGGCTGTAGACAGATCGGTAGTAAAGAATTTTAATGTGTCTTTGTTTGGCCGAGCTGCCTTTGAGGATCTTTCCCTGAAAGGCTATGATGTAGTTGCAAATGCCATTGGTTCTCTTGGTAAGAACTTTGAGTTGACATTTGTCGGCTCATCTCCCGGTGAACAACGAAAAGTTGAGCAATGGTTTCTTGACAACACGTGCATCAACCGCAACCAACTAACCATCCGTCGATATTGCAGTGAACAAGAGGAACTCAAGGTGATGTTCTATCAGTCAGATTTGGTTGCTCTGCCATCCCGTACCGAAGGATTTGGGCTTGTTGCCCTTGAGGCCATTTCTGCTGGTGTTCCTGTTCTTGTCTCTGGCGAATCTGGCATAGCTGAGGCTTTGCAAAAAGTAGAAGGTGGAAACACTGTCATTGTTGGATCAGGTGAAGATGAAGATGAATGGGCACGAAGGATCAGAGAGATGTATGAAGAAAGCGCAGAAGAGAGAGAAGCCAATGCTGTGAAGCTTCGCGAGAACTACAGTAAGGCCTACTGTTGGAAAGCAGAATGTGAGAGGTTTAAAGGGCTGATTGAAAATGTTGTGAAAACTGCAAATGGTGAGCCCACTTCTTTAATTTTTCCTTTTGTTCAGTACATTGGCTGAAATTTTATGCTACATGTATGAAGCTAAACCTTATGTGTAGACTGAGCCACATAACGTAAACCGAGTACTAGTACATGTAGATAAACACAAGAATGAGTAAAGTGCACCTTTAGTCCTGAGTTGTTACATTAATCTAGACTTGTGGTTGGACTACAAGTGTTCGAGTGCACTGTCTTTTAGGGTATTTATCTTGCACAAATCAGATTGCCTCGTAAGGATATGTATCTTGCACCAATCATATTACAGCATTAGGATATCTTTTACAGCATTTGGGTATTGTTTTCTTGCAAATTATGTCATCAAATCAGGGGACTGTGCACAAAGAATGATCTTAACCAGAAATTTTGGGCTCATTTGTTAAGTGTAATGGTTTGTGGCCTTTGCCTCAAGGTTGAGATTTATCAGGATATGGAAGGATCACATTTGACTTTTTGTATCATTTTTAAGTTAAAATATGTTTTTTCCTTTCTTTTACTTATGATGCACATGCCAAACAACTCACATTCCATCAAGTACCATGGAAATAATGTTTAAAGTCCAATCAGAACATACCCAATCATTGCACTACATGAACACTGTGTAATTTTTCATGTGCTTGAATTATACTCTACCAATCAAATTCCACTTTGCTCCATCATGTGTCATTTCCTCGTAAACAACCTGCATTCTATCACATATTCCAAATGCATTTTCCAACTCCACCAAAAAAAATTCACACAAAACTAAATGGGACTGATGGTGAACTTTCCATGCAACTGCTACCATGGACTTAACCCAATTGCATGTCAATTCATTGAAAACAACCTGCATTTCATCATGTATTTCACACACACAGGGCAAAGGCCAGATAGGCAACAACCAATCAAGCGGCCCTCTTTGAATTATTTTCCTTTTCTCCTGTTTAACGTATCCTAACTTATTCAAGGTTACGATATATCTTTGGTTAGGGTCTATTGGAAATACAACAGAGTTTCAGTTTGCTTTTTGTCATAAAATTAGGTGGAATTCTATTTTTTGGACAACTAACTGTAGATAAATAATTTTCATTTCCTCTCTGTTAGAGGAACAGCAGAGAGTGTGGTCTCTTTTGCAACTGTTATTTGGTGTCTTCACGCAACATGCTCTCTTTCAAAAGGGGAATAGAGGGTGTTGTTTGATGGGACCAAACTATGGCAGTGAAGGAGACAACAGTTAGTGTGGCACTGATGCATTTCATTTTTGCTTAGAAGTATTTGGACAATAGAGAAAATAGGCCACAAAATACCTGTGTGGGTTCAGATAAATTACATTTTTATTTTCTTTCTCTTAAGGGGAAGTAATACAATATTTTCGTTTGTTTTAAAGTTATGCTCTTTTTCTGTTACAAAAATGAAAACATTAGTTACACAAAATGTCCCATCTCAACCCACCCAGCCAGAAAAATAACTCTTGCATGCTAGACATGCTTATGTTTCACCTTAGCTAAGTCTGTTTAGATATTTCCATGTTTGAAACTGTTAGTAATATTTTAAATCATTGAGAATTTTGATTCTACTATGGAATGAGATAAAGATGCAAAAGAAACTGAAACTGAAGCAATATATATACTGTATGTGGTAATCATTTTCATTTGTTCAAGTTGTTGTTGGTATCTATTCATTGGTAATAAGCTCTATGTTTGATTGGTGTTGCCTCATTGTAATGTTCTCACATTTCAGTGGTTAATTAGGTAGGAAGTGAAAAAACCTTGTTATATTAGGATTAAATTTGACTGTTACAATTTAACAGGTGGTGAAATGAATATTAATGTTGATGTGGATGACTTGAAACCTGAAGAACAGAATATGCAGACTGGCATGTTGGCAACAGAGTCTGTCAGATGCCAAGAGGTTCAGCAGCCTAGAGCATCTGCTACATCAGCTGCATCTGGAAGTGTGTCCTATTCACAGAAAGAGGATCTCAATGCCCTTGAAAAGAAAATCTTTCTATCAATTGTGCAAAATTATCTCCA